ACAAAGCCTATATTGGACCTTGGGATGTTACTAATGTAGTGTTGTGGATAGAGTGTCGGACAAGGACTCTGGAGATCAGGGTTCAAATCCTGCTCTGCCACGGAGCGTTCACACAGCTTGCTTCAGCTAATTGCGACTCATGGACACTGTGCTGGCATCTGTCGCGATTGTGCAACGTGGCACACGACCAGGCACAAAACTGCATGCCAGCAATGAGCCACCGCAAAATAATGCTTTGTTTTCAAAATGGAAACCATTTAAAACGAAAGAAAATCCAAGCAATTTGAAAACCATTTACAGTACAAAACCATTAAAACTAAAGAATTTGATGGCCGAACTCCATAAGCCGCTAGTGAACAGCGATGACTTACAGTAACTTGGCCCCCAAATGAAAGCAACAATTAAGTGCCAATCAAGGGTCAGAGAAGAGAACATTTATTTTAATTAAAATGTTTTTACTCCTGCTTTCTCTTTAAAAAAAAGGACCAAGGCAGTTTACAAAAATTAAAAAAAAAGGACCCAAGGCAGTTTACAAAATTAAAAACACAACAATATAAGCTAAGAACAGCAAAGTATTCAAATATTTAAAATAATGAATAACATTATAATAAAAATGTGAGGTAAAAGAATGACAAAAAAAAAGATTTAGAAGCAACAAGAGATGGACCATCTCATTTATTGTCTCCTAGACAAGCCAGTCACCAACAGAAAGCCTTCTGGAAGAGAAAGGTCTGTTCCTGCTTGCAGAAGGACAGTCAAGAGGGGGCCAGCCTGGCCTCCAGTGGGAGGGAGTTCCACAGCCACAGAGAGGGCCCTCTCCAGTGTCCTCACCAAATACACCTGTGAAGGTGGTGGGACTGAGAGAAAGGCCTCCCCAGGCAAGCTCATCACGTTTTTGAGATAGAGAAGATCCGAGCTGTTTAGAGCTTTATAGGTTCCACAGCTATAGTGCTATGGCCAAGCAAACTCCCTGCCGTGTCTCCATATTGTGCACAACTCAAAATGATGGCACATAAGAGGTGACAAAATTGCAGGGTGGATCTCTTACAGAGCAGACAATGTCCTTTTTTAAAAAAAAATCAGGCCCAGTGTATTAGGAAAACAAAACACAGAACCCGGAAATATATAACTTTTGGGGAAATCCTTCAGAGGGATTCTGGGAGTTTTACTTCAAAAGAAGTAACTACTCTGTGCTCTGTCGCAACGGATGGACTTACCAAGGCATCGCATGGTCCTACAACACGGATGTTTTCTGCCACAAGTTCCACATTCTGCTTTTTGTGAAGGCTCTCAGTCAGCTTCCCCTGAACTTCTACTGAGCTTCCAAAAGACAGCTCCCTGGGACATAAAGCCAACAACTTCTTTTTAATTTACAAGACCTACAACTTTCGTTACTAAGATCATGGCCAGTGACCTCATCACCTCCTGGCAAATAGAAGGGGAAGATATGAAGGCAGTGACAGATTTTACTTTCTTGGGCTCTATGATCAATGCAGATGGAGACAGCAGCCATGAAATTAAAAGGCACCTGCATCTTGGGAGGAAAACGATGACAAACCTCGACAGCATCTTAAAAAGCAGAGACATCACCTTGCCGACAAAGGTCCGCATAGTCAAAGCTATGGTTTTTCCTGTAGTGATATATGAAAGTGAGAGCTGGACCATAAAGAAGGCTGACCGCCGAAGAATTGATGCTTTTGAATTCTGGTGCTGGACGAGACTCTTGAGAGTCCCCTGAACTGCAAGGAGAACAAATCTATCCGTTCTGAAGGAAATCAACCCCGAGCGCTCACTGGAAGGACAGATCCTGAAGCTGAGGCTCCAATACTGTACTTTGGCCATCTCATGAGAAGAGAAGACTCCCTGGAAAAGATCCTGATGTTGGGAAAGTGTGAAGGCAAGAGGAGAAGGGGACGACAGAGGATGAGATGGTTGGACAGTGTCATTGAAGCTACCAACATGAATCTGACCCAACTCTGGAATGCAGTGGAAGACAGGAGGGCCTGGCGTGCTCTGGTCCATGGGGTCACGAAGAGTCAGACACGATTTAACGACTAAACAACAACTTTCTTTCCACACTCAGGGGATTCTACCAGCTGTTTTCTGTATACCAAGCTTGTTTATTTCGTCCATTTCCTGATACCATCACAAATGCATTCCGAAAGTGAACTGCAAACAGAAACCCACCTGTACTAGAATATATAGCTACGCAACCCAGCATGTACGTATTATGTGCATGCAAGAATGAATGAGATGCACTACTTGCAAAAGACAGTACAGTGGTGCCCCGCATAGCAACGATAATTCGTGCAGCCAAAATCGTCGCTATACGGATTCATCACTATGCGAAATAAAAAAGCCCATAGGAATGCATTAAAACCTGTTTAATGCGTTCCTATAGGCAAAAAACTCACTGTTAAGCGAAAATCCTCCATGCGGCCACCATTTTCGCTGCCCAGTAAGCGAGGAATCAGCGCGAAAATACAGCATGCGGCCATTTTTTTACCCGGTGGCCATTTTGGTACCGCCAATCAGCTTTTAGAAAAACATTGCTATGTGAAAACCGGTAAGCAAAACAGCTTACCGATCATCGCAAAGCGATTTTTTCCTATCTAAATCATCGCAATGCGATCGCTTTCGCGTTCGCAAAACTTAATCGCTATGCAGATTCGTCATTAAACGGGGCGCCCATTAAGCGAGGCACCACTGTAATCAGTGTCAGCCAATGAGTACTTAGACAGTTAACTGTCAGATATAAGGAAAAAGTGTCATTTAATTTGCAATAAGGTATGTCAACAGACAAATAATTTGTCTGTTGATATGCTATTTTTCAATTAGGACTGTTTACTACTCGTATTAGTATGTTAGTAAGGAAGATGTTAGGAAACGAGTAAGTGCCTGTTATGCAACTGTTACACAAAGTTTGTCAAGCACAGACAAAATCTATACCAAACCAAATGTTCAAGTATTGTAACTTTATTCTTCAACATATATTTAAGTACAATAAATGTTCTTCAATGTTTACGATGACTGATTAATTATTCTTTTACCTGCTGGCACACACATCTCCGTACCAATTCAGGAGCTGTGTGGTTGTTATACTCATACTTAATGTGCCATGTGTAAACTATTTGCTGCCATCTTGAGTATTTAGTTGGGTAGTTCTCCTTATATTTTATATTTTGAGATTTGTGGGCTGGCCATGGTGTGGCTGTGTTCTTGAAGCTTATTTTACTGTTAGAAATCACCCATAGTGGCAATGCCACTAAATAGAGTGGGATGAAAATATCTTACATACATACATACATACATTGTTGTTGCTGTTGTTTAATTGTTCAGTCATGTCCGACTCTTCGTGACCCCATGGACCAGAGCACGCCAGGCCCTCCTGTCTGCCACAGCCTCCCGGAGTTGGGTCAGATTCACGTTGGTCACGTCGATGACCCTGTCCAACCATCTCATCCTCTGTCGTCTCTTTTTCCTCTTGCCTTCACACTTTCCCAACATCAGGGTCTCTCTTCTCATAAGATGGCCAAAGTATTGGAGCCTCAGCTTCAGTATCTGTCCTTCCAGTGAGTACTCAGGGTTGACTTCCTTCAGAATTGATAGGTTTGTTCTCCTTGCAGTCCAGGGGACTCTCAAGAGCCTCCTCCAACACCACAATTCAAAGCATCAATTCTTTGGCAGTCTGCTTTCTTTATTGTCTAGCTCTCACATCCATACATTGCTACTGGAAAAAGCATAGCTTTGACTATGCGGACCTTTGTCGGCAAGGTGATGTCTCTGCTTTTTAAGATGCTGTTGAGGTTTCTCATCGCTTTCCTCCCAAGAAGCAGGTGTCTTTTAATTCCGTGGCTGCTGTCTCCATCTGCAGTGATCATAGAACCCAAGAAAATAAAATCTGTCACTGCCTCTGTATCTTCCCCCTTCTATTTGCCAGGAGGTGATGGGACCAGTGGCCATGATCTTAGTTTTTTTGATGTTGAGCTTCAGACCATTTTTTGCACTCTCTTTCCACCCTCGTTAAGAGATTCTTTAATTCCTCCTCACTTTCTGCCATCAGAGTGGTATCATCTGCATATCACACACTGAACAATGCCGTGGCCCTACCAACTTGCGGGCAGCCCACCCTCAGCCACTAACTCCCCATCCTCCGAGTACAGGCGTCCTCGTACACAAGCAGCAGACTGGTGGCAGAACTAGATGATGCTGGTAGCAAGTCAACATAAATAGAGCCTTTTATTTATTTGTTTTTTAAGTAAGAGGTCTGTTAACCCTAACATGACCTTGCTTGAACCCCTACATTGCAGATGAGGTAGTGTCAACTTTGTGTTGGGTCACAGAGGTTCCATGTGCACACCTGATTTTTCCAGGATGGAAAACGCTGTCAGAACAGACATCCATTTTTTCCCCTTTAACATGTGATTTCACCCTGAGCGAGGAAGTAGCAGATTAAACTGGGGCACTTCAGACTAGTGATTTCACCCTGAGCGAGGAAGTAGCAGGTAGAAGATTAAACTGGGGCACTTCAGACTTTGCAGGAAGATACAGTCTCATATCAGAGCATCGCACAGATCAAAAAAGTTCTCGTCAGTAAAAAGCTAACACACGGGGTGGGAAATGGGCTAGAACCTCTATTTTTAGAAAACCTACAGACAGTATTTTACACAGGAAAGGAAGGGGCATTTCAACGACACCCCCACCTACAACCCGAAATAGTTTAACCCATGGTGCCATAAGCCAACAGCCATAAAGTTTCACAGACATGCTCTCTGTTAACCTGGATTCCAGTCTTGGGTCAGCAACGACCTGCAGGCTTTCCAGCGAGGAGCCATCGTTGATGTGGAGAAACAGAACCTCCTTGTGGGACCGCACTGAATGGACCCAACCCTAGAAACCAAAAAGAAAGCAAAGAGAAACATCTGGATAGAAGCCTAGGATGGCCTCATCCTGACACCGAGATACAAGCCCACAAAGTTTAAAACAACAAAAGGCATCCTGCGCTTGGGAAATTTCCAGCTCTGGGTTCAAATTTAATTTTCCCAGAAGCCTTTGGGGCTTCCTCATAAGGCTATGATACCTCTCCCATGCCACTATTGTTTAGTTTGTTGTTATTATATGCCATCAAGTCGCCTCCGATTCATGGCAATCGCATGAATAAGAGATCTCAAAAATGTTCTGTCCTGCTATGTAACTGCCATGCTCAGCTCTTACAAAGTTGTGGTTTCTTTAGGGAATCAACCCGTCTCATATTTGGTCTTCCTCTTTTCCCGCTGCTTTCAGCTTTTCCCAGCATTATTGTCTTTCCCAGAGAATCCTGCCTTCTCAGGATGTCCCCAAATTAGGACAGACTCAGCCTCCACCTCAACATTTTTGCTTCCAGAGATATTTCAGATTTGATTTGTTTGGCAGCTTCCAGATTTTGCACAGGCTTTCTGTCCTGTTCTAAAAATGCTGAAACACCTTTTACTAAGACTTAGTCACTGGCACTAAGAAAGTATTTTGGGTTCCCTCTCGAAAAGGATCCCTTTCCTGCAACAGAATTTGGTCCTCAGGCCAAATGAGGCTCCTTACAGTTTATTTACTAGAGGGACACTTCCAAAGGGAAAAACATGAGGTCAAGAACGGTAGCACCTCTTCATGGAAGCATCCTAAGGATCTTTCTGTTATTTGAGCTACTCACTTGGACTTTCACATCACGCCCAGCTGGTTTTTGGACTTCCAGAGCTTCCCGAACGCGCAGCAACTTGGGAGTCACAGCATGCTTGGGACAAGGCGCAGAGGAACAGCGGCGAAGGAGGAGGCCCGTGCAACGGGGTACAAACATCCCGAGTCGGCAACGCCTTATTGCAACCGCATCTCTTGCGGACAATAGAGAAAAAATCGAAGAGGCGCAAACCCTGTTGTTTACAGAAATGCAGATGTATTTAAGATCTCACTTGATATGAAACAGTTATGTATTGCATCTGATAACAAGGGGGAGAAAAATCTCTTTTTTAAAATAAAAGGAGTCATAGGCCAAGCCCACTGCAGTCTAACAAAAGGAACTTTTAAGTTATATGACATGTCAAGAGGTGAAAGGTCAAGCATGAATGAATATAATCAAACCCCAATGAAGCAAACCTGAAATTGTCTTTTAGGGATATCGTAACAGCTGTGCTAGTTCAAAGATAGAGCCAGCCTAGCATCCAAGTTGGTGCAGTGGTTAGACAGCTGGGTTAAGAAATAGGAATTCCAGATTCTAGTCCTCACTGAGCCAGGAATCCACCGAGTGGCTGTAGGAGAGCAACTATTTGCCAGGGTAGCTCACCTCATGAAGTCAGAATAAATTTGGGAACAAAAATCACCATGCATGTCTACTTGTGATCTTCACAGGGAAAAAAAAATAAACAGAACAAACCCAGTGACGTTCCTTTAAGAGTCACCTATGCTACAGCCCAGAGCTGTATCTTGTGGCAGGGAATTCCACAAGCTCCATTGCTATTTCTTTTGAAAGATACACAGCACCACTGTACAGTATAATGCAAGCAAGGCTACCAAGAAGAAATAATCACCTCCCACATAGCTATCTCATGTGAATCAGCCTCTTGCCATCCCGCTCACCTATCTTTCTTTCGAAGACAGGGGTGCAATAAAACTTCCCTTTACGCTTCCAAATCATAGTTCCAACTCATTTCCACTCAAACCACAAATTTCGGGGGTCATGAACCAGAAGCAGTTAGGTAATTTAATCTGCCCAAATGACATGCTTGCTGACAACGCTGTATATTTACTGACAACAATAAGGTTAGAGAGGGGAAGGCCTGATGGGGGGCAACAACCCAGAAAAATTGGGGAGAAAACACATCTTCAAAAATTTCTGGAAATTTTACATTTCTAAATAAGCCGAACAGCTTTTAGAATTTTCTCCCCGTGCCAGAATAATTTAGCAGGTTTTGGGCTACTCCACACCTTGACCTGAGCGAGTCTGTGGGCGAGCGTGTTATGGCTCACCCTAGCCTCAGGCGGCAAAATGTTGCGGGTCAGCCCCAGCTATTTAAATCAGACCTCCTTGCCTGGCCGGCTTCCAAATTCTTCTGCCAGGTTCTCCAGAAACTTAAATTAGGCATGGACTACAAGCCCCATCACCCACCACCACCCCAATAGCAGGATTCTGGGAGTTGTAATCTGAAGGATCCTGAGTTCGAGTCCTCCCTACAACCTCCAAGCGTCCTCTAGGGAGGTTGAGACCATTTTCTGCCCTCTTTTGAATGGCGACCCCTACCTGCCCTAAGACCGACTACCTTGCCCTTCCTTGGTGCCAGTCCGCCCGATTCACCTGGAAAGCCCAGCAACCCAAAACCACGCGACGCTCCCTGATGGCTTTCTTCCTTCCCCTTTCCCCTTGACATGTGACTCCTCTTAGCCAATAGAAATCGCTCATCGGAAAAGGTGCCCCCTACGTCACTCCTGTCAGGCGCAATGCGTTCTGGGAGCTGTAGTTCCAAAAAAAATCCAACAGAGGCCGGAAGTTAGGGAATTAAGGGTGTAACGTGGAAATTTAAAACACAGCTTTTATTTTATTTCGCTGCAGTCTCCCCCTCCCCGGCTGCTTCAGCAGCGAAAGAGAGACAGGCTCGTCCCATTTTTAACCTGTGCTGTTTCTGGCAGAGCGTGGAAACGTTCCTTTTTTGGGACTACAAATCCCATCACACCCCAGCCAGTGTGGCCTTTGGGATTCTGAGAGTTGTAGTCCCAAAAAGGGGGGGGGGAATGAAAGAAAATCAATGTTTCCAAACTGTTTTCATAAGATTCTGAAACTGAGCTGATTTCCTTTAAAAGGGAAAAAACACACACAAATTTCTGTCTGGCAACCCCATTCTGTTGGCAAAATGAAATTAAGAGATGAGAAATACAAAACCTGCTTTCCTAGCTCATGTCATACATTCGCTTATATTTTAACAGTTTATTTTCATTTCTGGGGTTCTATGGTAGTACACCAACACATTAAAGCAGCCAGATTTATTCATTTTTTCCCCAGTGCAATTCTGCAGCTGTGTACGTACTACTACGTTTACCATGAGTCTTCCAGCCAGTCGAGTAGAATAACAGCCTTTCTCTCTGTTCTTCCTTCCAACAATTAAAAGACATTATTTCAGCGAACAAGAGTGCGTATACAACACTAAAAGCATTAAATGAATACAATACTAAAAACTACAAGCAACACCAAAACACATTCAAAGCAGTACAATTCATTAAAAAAACCCATTTGGTAGCCAGTCACTGAGGCAAAGCCTGCTTGAAGAGAAAGGTCTTTGCCTGTTTGGGGAAAGACAGCCAAGATGGGGCCTGGCTGGTCTCCAGTGGGAGGGAGTTCCACAGTCTGGGAACAGCCACAGAGAAGATTCTCCCCCATGTTCCCACCAAATGCACCTGTGAAGATGGCGGGACTGCAAGAAAGGCATCCCCTGATGATCTGAAGCAGGTTCATAAAGGGTGGTGAGATAGCTTGGATCCCATCATTTAGGTTGGAAACCTAACTTTGAATTCTGCCAGGAAACAGATTGGCCAAGCAGTGGAGCTACTGTACCAGGGGTTATGTGGTCCCTGTGCCCAGCCCCTGTTAGCAATTTGGCTGCAGCCTTTTGGACCCACTGAAGTTTCCTGACAGTTTCCATAGGCAGCCCCACAGGGAGTGCATTACAGTAATCAATCCAGGATGTAACTAAGGCATGTGTCACCATGGGCGATCATACTTCTCCAGGAAATGGCACAGCTGGCACACTTATTTTAGCTGCCGAAACCTGGGCATCCGGGCTCAAAGATGAATCGAGGAGAGCCCCAAGCTGCACCTCTTTGTTTTCAGGGGGAGTGTAACCCCATCCAGTGCAGGTGTCATCTCTCTTCCCTGATCTGCCTTTCAGCTGACCAGGAGCACTTCTGCCTTGCCTGGATTAAGTTTCAGTTTTTTCACCCTCACTCTATCCGTTACGGACACTAGATGCTCATCTAGAGCCGAAAGAAGCTTCCTTAAATTTAGATGGCAAGGAGAGATAGAACCGGACATCATCCACATACTTATGACACCAAGCCCCCAAACTCCGGACAATCGCTCCCAGTGGTTTCATGTACATATTAAATAACATAGGAGACAAAATGGGAGCCGGCAGGCCAGCAGCCAAGGTGTCTACTCTAACCGGAGTCCTCCAGCACCACCTTCCGAGTTCTTTCCTCTAGGAGGGATGTGCGTGAGCCACTGTAAAAAATGGATCTTTTTTCAGTGTCTGTCTTTCGTGTCTGTACAACATAATAACGAACACGACAGTGAAGGTGATCTTGGCTTTGGTGTCCACCAACATATCTGAAGGTCTTTACTCATTCCTCTCTGTTGTCTTCTTCAGCGGCCTTCCTCTGTCCACCAACATATCTGAAGGTCTTTACTAATTCCTCTCTGTCGTCATCTTCAGCAGACTTCCTCTTGATTTATTGATTGATATTGATTGGATTTCTATCCTGCCCATCTAGACCAAAGGTCTACTCTGATGACTGACTATGGCTATCCATTCATAACATTGCAGTCCACCGCCTGAGGAAACTGTTTTGCTCTGTCTAATACACGGGAGGGAAAACCCTACACCCCTGGGTCTGATCTGGCCTGTCGTGTATTGGAATCTTGTCTGCCAGAAGCTCTCCACCGACTGAATGATCATGGAAGGCCTAGCCTGGAAATCCGTTGCCACTTTTTAGTCTGACAGGGCTCCTGTGCTTTTAATAGCGGCAAAAAATCTGCCGATTCAATAGTTGGAGTTATTTCAACTTCATATGATGCCTTTAGATAGGATTTGGCTGGGAGGAACCGTTTCTGGGCTGGGGTGACTGTCAGTCAATCCGGCAGTAACCAATGGTTCCTTCCCTGCCTCATTTCAAAGAGAGCCACGCCTCTCTGCTTAAGTGTCTTTTCCCCTCTCTTTTTGTCAGTTCTGCAGTGTGTTCGCAGTTTGTGTGTGCAGTAAAAATGGAGTCTGCAAGAGTCTGCTGGAACCAGTCAATGAGTCTGTTGAGGCCTGTTGTTGTAAGCAGTCATTTTGGAACAGTGTGCTGTTTTTCGTCTATTCAGTTGTGAATAAACAAAACCTTTTTATTCATTTTCTTACCAATATCTCGGAATGAGTTAATGAGAATGTAAGTGCCAGTTGATGTGACAATAAGCTGCTATCTACTCTGGAGAGACCTGAAGATAATTCTGCTCTATTGAGGCCCTGCACTTCTGCTACACACCTAGAAGTGTGTGTGTGTTTTTAACCAAAATTAAAAACGATGCAACAAAAATTTCTCCCGTCTCTTCACTTGCATAACTAGAATCAGGCCCCATGATGCAAAGGGGCAAGATGGGGAAACCAAGTTATTATTTCAGAAAAATCACCAGAAGGACCTTTCTAAGGGTGGAAGATCAGGCCATTGTTCCGTATTAAGAGATCCATCTTTTGTGACTGGGGCAATCATAGAACACTATGCGAACAATGCCAAAGAGAGGGGGGAATTAAAGACCAGTGAAATAATAATTGCGTTCCTCGAAAAGAGAGAATATAAAGGCAAAATGCTTCCATTTCAGGCTTCCATTGCCAGCAGGAAAGCTTTTACAGAACAAATGGGTTCAGAGATTAAAAGCACAAAGCCGTGGATTTTTTTTTTCTTATCCCCTGCAATGGATAAGAAAGAGAGTTAGTTTTTTGGTTGCTTCATGAAATTAAGAGATAGAAGCAAATGTATCCAGTGATCTGTTTTTATTTTAAAAAAACCAAGATGTATTGGGAGCGAAGCTGGGCCAAACTTTATCCCGTCCCTCTCTGATACAGAAGAGAAGTCATTCGCCATCATTGGGATGCGGGATTTGAAATTTGTCTTCGCTGGGTCATGAAACCCACTGGGTGGAGGCTTCAACTGGTAAATAAACGTCTGACGAGTATGGAGTCAGCAAAGTTATCTGGTGGCAATCTGCCCAAGCTAAGGGTTGCCATTTAGATAGACAGAGTTTTATCCTGAAGCAAAGCACATGGAACAAAAAACAACACACACGCAAAAACAAAGGAAATAAACGAAACAAACATTTGCAGGGCTGTTTTTTTAAAAAAAATCTCCTTCACTTTGATTTTCTGAGTGTTGCGATTGACCTATCACCATATCTTCCCATCTTGGCTTTGGCTCATTTTTTCATCTCTTATTTTGTGTAAGAAACAGCTGGATTCTGTGCAATGGAATACCTTTTCCAGGGAAGTCTGAGCAGGAAAGAAGCCATATAAGAGAGAAATTGTGATAATTCTGTTGGACAGATTGATGTTTCTTCCAGAGAAGAAGTGGCCATGTAATATCTGAGAACAAGCTCTCTCACACTAATACCGTGCTGTCAATTATTGTGTACGTGTGTGAAAGCTGGACAGTAAAGAAAGTTGACAGGAGAAAACAATGATTTCTTTGAAATGTGGTGCTGGAATTGATTGCTTTGTGGATACCCTGGATTGCCAGAACGATGCACAAGTGGGTCCTAGATCAAATCAAGCCTGTACTTTCTTTGGAGGCAAAAATTTTGAAACTGAGGCTGTCCTGCTTTGGACGCATAATGAGAAGGCAGATTCTCTGGAAAAGGCAATATTGTTGGGAAAGGCAGAATGCAGCAGGAAAAGAGGAAGACCAAATATGAGATGAACTGACTCCCTAAGGACACCACAACCGTACATTTACATAGTCACCTTGACTGAAAAACATAGGAATTGCAATTGACTAGTATTCTTTTACAGTCTGTGTTACAAAAATGTTTGATGTCACGAAGTAATCCTTAGGAAAACAGATACCGTATTTTTCTGTGTATAAGAGGATACTTTTATCTAAAATCTTTAGACTAAAAATTTAGGGTGGTCTTATGCACGGAAGTAAGGTGAGGAGAGAACAAAAACAAGTGGAGGGGAAAGCAGGGATCAAAGCGATCCTGCAGTGGCTTGATCCCTTTCCCCCTACACTTGCTAAGCCCCACTTATTTTTCTTAATTTTGGATTAGAAAAGTGGGATGGGGCATCTTATACATGGTGGCATTTTATACACGGAAAAATACAATAATTTCTCTGGGGAGAAAACCTTGCACAAATAAATCTCAGGGCCCTTTTTCTGCATCACATTTTTCCTTATTTCCATCAAATTTGAACCAGAGATTGGAATGAATATCTCATTCCCCCCCCCCTTTTTTGGTAGCAATTGTGTCAATGTTATATTTATTTTTAAATGCCATATGTGGAAAGGAAGCTGCGTTAGTGGCATAACAAGCAGTGTATTCTTTTATTTAAATGTCATGCTTAGATGGCGTTTTAGTCTTCACTGGCATATCAGGCAAAACAAAAAGAAAAAAAATTAAA